CTTGATCCGTACAGAGTGTGTACGCTCGCTTACTCGATGCCTCCTTCATGCAAACATCTACATCGTCATTTGCATCCCCATCTGCCATAGAGGCTACGCCGAGGCTGATTATGCAAATATTGGGTGTGTGAACTAACTGTTTCTAAAATATATCGCTCCTCATCAATGATGTAGTCCATAGGCTCAAGTCTACCGTATTCATCAACTGCATTGCCATGTCCGTCTTCATAGAAAATTTGAAAGCTCATTTTGTAATACTCGGTTTTTAGTGAGAAGAAAAAAGAGAGCTGACGGTGCTTTCATGCTTAGTGTATTCATAATTTGCACGACAAAGCTTCTACATATACGATATTTAGTTTGTCAGCAAGCGAAATTAACCAATGGTTAACATGACATTAGAATTTAACAAGCGTGAATTTTACTCTTGGTATCAGTGTCAATAATTTTTGGAAATACAGTAGAGCATGTGTCGGCTGGCTCCCTGGCGGTCGATACAAAATCTGTCCTCGGCACCCTGGCCAACCCTTCACAAAAGTCTATACAATTCACTGTCTCCAGATGTGCCGTAGACTCATGGTGCCCCAAACCATTTCTGACCCATGTTTTTCCTTTTAAATATGCTACCTACCAAGAAACTTCGCTCTCCTAATACAACACTCTTGTGGACCATCCGCTGGCCAACTATATGCAGAATCCTATATGAGCTCGATTACCTATATCACGCTAAGCTTCCGTCTACCTCGCCCACTCACCTCGGGCAAAGACTCTTGGAATGACTCCCCTCTTCTCCTTCTCACTAGTGTATCCTACACTTAACCCCATTCACTTCTTCCAAAGCATTTTTATCCTTGCTCCCAAAAGAGTTCTTTAGTCATCACTATCCTTCCTTTATGAATTGCTTCGGGCGGGAAAAATGTAATATTACAATCATGCGCCCATTAGAGATTTTAATTATTTATAAATAAAAATCTGTTTAAACGTATAACGTGTGTCCTGATAGTATCTTTGAAGTTTGTAAGCAAGCTGATCGTAAATGTATCTTGGGCGAAGAGCATAAAGCGGCTGTTGTCAACTTCATTGATACTAATTCCTCTGCTACTGTTGTTGGAGTGACTGAGAATTTATTAAAGCGATTTCATGATATTAAAGCTTCACGCAACACTGTTTATTACTTCATGAGAAGTGAATGTAACCTTTCGTTGAAAAAAGCAGATTTTCATTCTATTGAGAGAAACAGCCCAGCAAGGATTGAGGAGCGGCTTGATTGGGTTTTGTAAATGAAAAAATACAATGAGTTTTCTAACAAATTGCGTGTTTCTTGGTGAGTCTGCTTTTGATATCAATATGAACGTTTGAAAGCTTGGTGAAAAAAAGGTTCCCAAAATATTATTACCAAGCCTTCTACGAGAGCCAACGCAACATCAATATTAGGAGCCATCTCTGTCGCAGGCTTGATCACAGTCAGCGTAAAAAAACCAAGACCTTCTAAGAAAAGAAAGGCCAAAGGATACATAAGCTCAGGAACAGTAACAGGACATTATCTCAGCTTCCTAAAAATGACTCTCAATGAAATGGACAAGCATCCGCAAATGAAAGGTCATTACATAGTTATGGACAATACGCCCATTCATACGCATGAAAACATTGTGAAATATATTAAATATTGAGGATACTAATATATATATCTTCCTACGTGCTCGCCTGAGCTTAACCTAATAGAACAATTCTGGGCAGTAGCAAAGAGTAAGGTTAAGTGCCATAGATTTTTGCAGGAAGACACTCTATCAAAGAGAATAACAGAAGCCTGCAAAAGTGTGGAGAAAAATCACTTCAGAGGTTTCGTATCGTATTCTTACAAATGCTGGGATAAATGTTGACTATATTCTATTAAGCAGACTTTCTCCTTTCGCTCAAATTTAACGTTTAAAGGGTATTTTGATCTGACGTAATTTCAGAAACCTTCAGGTACACACAGTATATTTCAGCAAACAGGCTCTTAAACAATGCTAGTTAAACGGGCTTTTTCTTATCTCATGCTACTTTAGGTAGCTTTGTACTTTGACCAATTGTAAATACAATTTTACCAATGTTGTCACGTACAGTAGGACCTCGCTTCTGTCATACCCTATCCTGGAATAATCGCGATTCTGAAATATCAGTTCATGAGAAAAATTGAGACGTGATTGTTTATTCAAGTGTACTTTTTTGGAAAATGTATTCTACCCTAGAATTATGTCGATTCTGGAATGTTACATCTACCCACCAAGGGCTATGACAGAATTGAGATCTGGCTGTATCTTTTTTATGCAATCATTTGCTCTGTGTTGAACCACCGTATATGGTTATACGATTTCATTTGTAAAACTGTAATTGAAGGCACAAAATTATACACAATCATGAATTGTCGTTTCTTATCTTTTCCTCCAAAAGTTATTGTCGTATTTACTTTTTTGCTTTTATATCTTGACTGTGTTATAAATAATAATACGCAAGATACGTTATTGAAATAATCTATTGTTTTATATTCATGTCTCAATTGCCTTTACAAAGCATTGCCGTGGATATCTCAATTTACTGTGCGACGTCACAAACCATATCACGAATTATTGCATTAAATGAATATTTCATCGCCATGGCAACCACGTTCCTATTCTTGAACAAGTTATCAATTAGAACAAGTTTTATAAAACCTCTTCAAACCGTTATCCTTTTTTCAATGTGGTAGTCGATTCAGTGATTTATTTAAAGCAACTTTTTATAAACTTGAACAAGTGACCATTGGGCATTTGTTGTTATGATGGCCAAAGTTTGAGCTCCTTAACACTAATAAATTCTCCGTAATTAAAATATCTCCGTAATAAATACCTTTTTTTTTATTGTGTTGCTTAAACTCTTGTACATAGTATACAACAAGTTACAGCCTTGAAAGCAAAATATTCCTTTTTTTTTAAAAAAAAACACCTCCCTATGTTCTATAGTTAATTGACTACAGATCAAGGGTTAAATCATCATTATTATTAAACTAGTTATGTTATTACGATTCAGTAAACTATACATAACTATTAAAGCGATTGACTGAATTATATTAACATAGCCTATAGTCATCGGTTACTGATCTCTCATATACATTTACAAGTCAGACCAAGTATTGGTTACAGATTCCACGGATAAGTCGTATGGAGTTTTATTAATGGTTTTACTTTGTGTTACACCCCATCTCTCTCTTGAATATATAAGGAACTTGATTTGTATAATCTATTCTTTTTTCTATCTACAGTAATGCAATTCTCTTTGGGATATCTTACGCTGGCGCTCTTGTGCGTTCAATTGGTCTTTGCTGGTACTATCAGTGTCTGTAACTCCTGTCAATACAAGTCTATCAGCAAAGCGATTGCCTCTCTTCCAAATAATGCTGAATCATATACAGTCTTGATTGCTCCAGGAACATACACTGAACAATTCACCATTGCTCGATCGAACCTCGTGTTGAAGCCTGCCAGCGGTACTGTCACCATTCAATATGCCTCTGGCCACGATCCCAATGCCAAGACCGGAAGCACTGCTGATTCTGCTGTCTTGACTATTACAGGCAAGAACGTTATGATGCAAGATATTATTATTGCAAACACGTTAAAGCAAACACGCGTCGCTAATGTTGCTTTGCACGTCAATGCTCCTCAGGCTTATTTCAAAAATGTCAAGATCTACGGTTTCCAAGATACCCTTTTAATCAACCGCAGTGGCTCTGCTTACTTTAAGAACTGTTGGATTGAAGGTTCAGTTGATTTCATTTGGGGCTTTGGCACTGGTAAAGAAAGAAAAGTATTATACACAGAATATCCAACCATTGACCTACTGTTGCTTTAGGTTACTTTGATAAATGTGTCATTGCCTCCAATCAAAAAGGCACCTCTGTCACTGCTCAAGGTAATGATTCTGCAAATGCTCCTGGTGGCTTCTACTTTAATCACTGCGTATTCAAGGCTACTGTTCCATCAGGCCCCTTGTCCAAAACATATAACCCTTCCATGGCTTTTACTTCTCCTGCTCAGTTCCCAGACTCTTGCTACTTGGGCCGTCCCTGGCGCTCGTACGCTCGTGTCATCATCATGAACTCAGACCTCGGTAATCATATCAAACCTGCTGGCTGGAGCGAATGGCCTACTTCTACCCCTGACACACGTAATGTTCTCTATGGAGAATACAAGAACTTTGGAGCACGCCCTTGGACTAGTGCACGTGTCAAATTTTCAAAGAATTTGAGTGATAATCAAGCTGCTCAATTTACTGCTAAGAAGGTCTTTGGTGGCAATACTTCATGGTTCCAAAACCGATAGTCACAAAATCCATAATCATTTCAATACATATAAAAAAACAAATGTTTATATCCTCTTTTGTTAATTGCATCCAAAGCAAAAGAAGAGTGACGAATTCTGCAGTTATCCATGACAATAAAAATCTTTTCATGCCTATCCAGAACATCCACGAGAACTTCAGCAAATTTGACAATGCGATAGGTCGTGGTGCCTTTTGCGAGGCATTTTTCCTTGCCCTCTTCATCCATATTAGCTTTTCTTTTCTTAGAGACTGGCTGAGTGAACTCTTTCTCCACCTTTTCCGCATCACCTCACTTTAATGGTTCACCCTTTGAAAAGCTAATTGTTCCAAATGGCGAAATGCAGCTAACGATGCTTTTAATCACTTCTCTTCTATCTTGTACTTTTACATTAGCCTGATCTCCAATCTTTGACCAAGCTGAACGCCTCATCTCTTAAGTGTGGTAACCTGCTTTATCGATAAAGACACAATCCTTTTGGAAATCTGCACCTATCTTTATCCGTTTGCTTACGATTTCATGGTGAAGAAGAAAGGTTCTTTCAGCATCTCTATTCAAATTTAATTCAATGCTTGCTTTAAAGAAAAAAGCAAAGTTCCGTCAGATATTTTCATGAAGTAGGAAGTTGGATAGTCAAAATAGTCAAATCTTCAAAATGAGAAATCAATTCTTACTTTAGCTAAATAAAGTGTGGAAGATGGGTGTTTAACAAAATAATCAATCAGAAACTGGCCACGTTCAATAAAAAACTTCTGGAGTGCGCCTCTACTAATCCTCTTTGACGCGCTTCCGGGTAAAACTGTACCAACTCAAGTGGAGCTCGCTGAATAATTTGTATGCGCTACTCCGAGGAATCGTACATTGCTTAATAGCTGTTGGGTCTGCTAGTACTTATTTCCTGTATTGGTTCGATAAAAATCCGGATTTACTCTTGAGTGTACTTCTTGTGTCGATATCTATTGTTACTGATGGAGGCTCTCTGTAGCTCAGAAGAGATTTCCTCAATGACATCTTTCATCTTATATACAAGGACAGAAACTGTGTCGATATCGTCTATCTTCGTTGCTTAGTTTTCAGGTAAACTACCAGTCTATTGACATTAGAACAGTGATCTCTTGTTTTACTTATTGATGTCGCCATATTAGAAAGCGGAATTCTCCTTAAATTCCTTCATTGTGTTTTATTTTACGTTGTACAGCAACCAAAATTACTTGAAGTGTAATTATAATGATACTTCACGAATTCGTATACTACACCAAAACGCTGTCCTTTACATACAGCAGTCACTTCAAATCAGTACGCTAATATAAATGACAACATTTCGCATATGTTGTTCTTTCAGTTTATTTTTCTTCATATACATACAGTGCGCGGACAAAAGTATAGTCCATTTTTTAAAAGTCAGTTTGTTTTTTTTTTTAAGAAAAGTACTCAATGAATAAGACGATACTTTTCTCTTTCTTTCATATATTTTTCTCTCATAACTACATAAAATGGCTTATTTAACTTTGTCTCAAAAAGAATAAATTGTTACCAGGCGCTGCGATAGCGTTTCGGCAGCACAAATTGCCATTGACGAGAACATTACAAAAAGATCTGTACGTCAAGTCTATCAACAATGGAAGAAAAAATGAAATAGTAGAGATAAATCTAAGTCTGGAAGGCCACTTTTTTTCAATAATAGAAAAAGAATAAAGCTATGAAGGGCTGTACGTGCCAAACGTCATGCTCCACTTAACGAAATTAGACATTTGATCAGTACGAAAGCCTCTGAGAAGACAATTCGTAGAGAACTGAGGAAACTTGGTTATGCTTCTCGTGTGGCCGTCAATAAGCCATTTTTAAATGAAAGCAACAAAAAGCAAGATATACTTTTGCAAAAAATCATGCTAACTAAACAGCAGATGACTGGTGAAAGGTGATCTGGACAGACGAGTCGAGCTTCGAAATCGGCAAACCCAGAGTATAGCGTAATGCTTTGGAAAAATACAGCAAAGAATGCCTGGCACCAACCTTCAAAAGTGGCAGAATTTCAATCATGGTTTGAGCGCCATAGCTGGTGGAAAGAAGTCGAAACTTGTGTTTATAAAGAAAAGCATGAGGACAAGTGCCGACTTCATAAATCAGGTCAAAGATCCAGTATGTCGTATATTTTGTACAACTTATTTCTATTTTAATCAAGTTACGCTGTTGATCCTTTTGGTAGTTATCCATGTCAGTTACAAGAAATGACTCATCATAAGCATTCAGGCATACAACCTCATGATGACTCAGAAAACATAATAATTAGTATTAAGAAGAACGCTTGTAAAAGAATATAAATAGAGATTGATTTCAATTGAAATAAAGGAGAATTCAATTTATCAAAACTTGTATATTTTATATTATCCCAAAAAGGCAATCAATAACAGACACGACAAGTACTACTAGACTTCTACAAAACTATAGATAGTCCTGTGCTCATAGAAGATGATACACCCATCCATAGAGCGAAAACTACTGCCGAATGAAGGGAGAGAAAGGGTATAAACAAGATGTCCTGGCCAGCACAATCGCCGGATTTAAATCCGATTGAAAATCTTTGGAGCATGATGAAGAAGAGGGCTAACACTCTATGCCCTCATGCTAAAAGCCAGTAAGCCATGGAATTAGTTTTGAAGATTGTTTGGAGGAAGTTTACTCCAGAAAGCATCAACAAATTAATTGACTCTATGTCGAAGAGGATCAAAGGTGTTATAAAAGCTCGTGGTGGACCCACCAAATATTAGATCAATGAAAAATCCAAAGATTACTTTACAAGTCTCACTTTTTTCGGTATTCTAATGTACATGGCCTTTCTTCATCATTTGCGTTATCTTATAACTGTAGCAAAGCTACAAAAGATTCGCTTTCTTTACTGTTTAGTCTTTAATAGCATTAAAAAAACCGACTTTTAAAAAATGGACTATACTTTTGTCCGGGCACTGTACATTAATCTATCCCAAAGTTGGACTTCTCATTTAAAACAAAAAGCAAACAAAATACGAATACCTGCAAAGATGTACAAATGGTGCTGATGTATTTGATAAGATAATCATTACAATACTTTATAATTTTACAGTAGAGTATACATTCTACTTTACACTCCCTATCGCTCTGATAATAAGAGCCATTAAATGGCACCCCCTAATCTCCGGTAAAAAGCAATAAATCTTTTGTGAAAGCTCACTGTCAAAATGGGCTTTTGGCCAATTTTTTCGTCACCTCCTCCTTCCGGAAAAGGCATAATTTTAAGCTTCATAAAGATGAAGCGTTTTTTTTTTTTGAGAAATTGTTTACTAGAATATCATTAAGCAATTTGCAACACATTCAATGTGCTAATTATACTATACAATTTATTATCAATAGCTCTATAAAGTTATGAAGATAAAGACGTTTATTTATTGCAAAGTAAAGTTAAATATACACGTTGGAGCAATTGTGGCAGTTTTTTGGCATCAGTGTTCTTAGGGACCATACCTTGAGTGACGGGGTTCATCTTAAAATAGTAGGTACGTGGGACGATGTCGTTAAGGATCGTGCCCAAAGTGGATTCTCCTTCCAAAACGAGTAAGCTCCTTCCAACAAGCTAAGTACCATTCACTTTTAAGGTATCTTGTTGTTCACCAACTTGATTTATGGGCATAAATGGCTTTATGTAGTTTATTATATACTGTTTTATTAAAAATAATTTTCAGAAAGAGGATAAAATTATGACGTGTATGAAAAAAATAATTGGCGCATATAAGAAAAAGTATTTACGCAAAGGTTAAAAATAAAACACGTGCGAAGGAGACGACATACAAATGAGAGTAATAAGTACCAAGGAGAGAAT